AATCAAATATAAACTCCCCCAAAACAAAGAAGTATATCCATTCTGCTCCCTCCCCCTACTACCAGCGAGTATTATCAAAGTGAGCGCCAGCAGACTACAGAACAATAGGAAAACACAGCGAGTGTAGTCGTTTATACGATGTTGCAAATTACGCCGTACCGCACGTCGGTGAGATCGTCTACGACGCGCTGAGAGAAAACACACCAGTGCTAGCCACTAATATATACATACATAATATTGAGAGTTATTGAGAATATTGGAGTTTCACAACCCGTGAAGTGGCGTCGCAAAACTCCGTGAAAAACTCGGCGATATTCGCGGTGATATGCAGTAGTCGCGAAATATGTTTTTCACTAGTGTTTTTTACACATCACGAGAGCGGTGAAACCCCATTGTATATGTGGCGAATTCGACAGAGCTCTCAGGGGTTTCGAGAAGACCAAGCACAGGATCGATTTTAGATCTCAACGTCGAATCTAAAACTGATTCGTTCATTGTAATCTTCGAAGTGTTTTAATTCACTTCATATCGCGTTTTACACAGAGTATTACAAACCTGTGAAACTCCAGTGTAATAATACTACCACTACTTTGGTTCTCACGATGATCACCGCGACCAGCTTCCAAGTCCTCTTGCAAAGACATCCCTCCGGGAGCACCACTCGCTGTGGGCACTCCTACTGATGATGACAATGAATCTCCACATACAGTACCATCCATCTCATTCACGGTAGTTGACGTTGACATGGTATGACCAACTGCTAATAAAAATACTACATATTTCCTATAATACATAAAAAATATACATAAAAAATATACATAGAAAATATACATAAAAAAATTACCATCGATTTCGCCATCGTCCTTATCCCTCAACAGAATGACGTACAGACAGCTTAGGGGAAATCACACTCAATACAGTCTCATAGCACGTTCTACTCTGTAGAAAACGCGATATTCATGGTCATATATATATATTTTTCACTAGTGGAGTTTCATGAAAAACACTAGCGAAAAACATATTTCACGACTACTACAGGCCGCGAATATCGCCGAGTTTTACGCCACTTCACGTAAAACGGGTTGTGAAACTCCAGCGTTATTCATATTACCAGGGCAATGGGACTCCCATGCACTCATACCACACCTTCCCCATAACGCAGATCCGCTTGGAAGATAAGAAACTCACTGTTCGATATACTATCAATTTTACTACATTTCCTATTCCCTCAAGGCCCAATCCGGCGGCGCTGCTGCTGCTGCTGCTGTTCCATCGATCGGCTGAGTACTACTCATAACACTCATTGCAACCCCTCCCCCAGGCGTCCTTATACGCCAGTTCACTCCATCTCCTACAGGTCTACTATACTTAGTGTGTAAGGGTAACCACCACAGCCACGGATTAGCACCCATAACCTACACAAAAATAAATACAAGTCGCGTCTACTACAGTGCTGTTCTCATTCTTGGAGGAGGAGGAGGAGCATATGTTTGCTTTTCTCACCTCAGCTCGGGAGTTTCAAAAGCTACATTATGAATTAGGAAACCAGTGTGAATTTTCCAAATTTTCCTCCCAGAATTTTTACACTCTCATCACCAACACATGTAGTTGACCATGTGCATATTTTCCCCCATGCTGCCCTACAATCTTAACCATTTTTTAAAATTCTCAAATAAAATAGAGTTTCACCCTAGTGATATGAACAACACTAGTGAAAAACACATTTCACGACTACTGCATACCACCGCGAATATCGCGTTTTTCACCGAGTTTTACGCCGCCACTTCACGTAAAACGAGTGGAACTCCAATATCATCCCACTACAGACCATACGTAAAAAATTTTTGAATGTGAACTAAATGTGGCGTTAACATTTTATAATAAAACGCAGTAGACGCGGAATCTAACAACATGAAAGTTTCACCCTAGTGATATGAAAAACACTGGTGGAAAACATATTTCACATTTCACTTCGCGAAAAACGCGTGAAATGAGGTGATTTATCCGCCGTAATTCACTTCATATCGCGTTTTTCACATGGAGTATTACGCCATTTCACGTAAACCGCGTAAAACTCCATTATTTTTCCTAAAAAAATCAACCCAGCGAAAAAAAAACAAGTCCGCTGGACACTGAAGCGAAGTACCGCGTTATACTCCCTCTCCTCCATGTTACTACCTGCTCTACGTTGGACCGTTCACCAACATCATATTTAGATTTCACCATCGGCTCCCTTTCGAAGTTCTCGATAGTAGTGAAGTTATCCCGTACCAATCCCAGATGGAACTTGACGAAGCTTAACAATGAAATCGCCAATAATATAGACACCACATAAGATAGCAAGCCGGAGAGGTTGCGGAGGTTCAACAGTATAGAACCACTACCGTGGTTAAGGCGATCGTCAAGTACAGCAACTACTCGGGGAAAACCAAACAGGAGGACCAAAGCCAGACAGATGTAAACATAAACCAACAACTGGAGGAAGAACTTCCTATTGTAAAAGCCGACACAGTTGTTGAGCCAAGGACAGTGATGGTCCATGTTTAGATTGCAACGGTTACACGCAGAACAGTGGTGACACCTTTCAGGTTTCCACACGTGACACATTTTGCAATACCGTCTTCTCTTCACATCATCACCAATGTGGAACCCCCAGTATTGTGGAACTCCTCCTGGGTCCGTAGCACAGCTTTGATAGAATGCCAAGAGCATCAGCACTACAAACGCATTGAAAACAGTAAGCAACACGTGCGATATGCGACTGCCCAGTGCTGGCCACCACAAACCAAATACGAACCCGCAGTAAATCGAAGTGATAGTCGCAAGTACTGCTATGACGAATTTCAAGTGTGGTGATTCTTTTGGTGGTCGGCCTTCGATAGCTTGGGGAATCCTAGGCGACCGAGTTCTACTTGGGCTACTGTCGTCTCCCGGGTTTGCCGTCACTGGAGTATGCAATGAGTTTGATAACATAGAAAACAATACTGCAGTGATTGATTTACCGCGCGACACAAAACTATCACCACTTTGGTTGATAGCTACGGGGAGTCTATGTGAATAAGACAGATCGTTACTTCTCGATTCCAGGGTAGTTTGAAAAAAATTCGTTAAAAATACCCCTCCCAGGGATCGAACCCGGGACCGTTACTCATCCCGTCGGTCCCACGAGTCGTGATCATAACGCCCCCCCCCACTACGGAACAAAACCTCCCATGTGGAACACATAGATGACACTAAGTAAATTGTAGTGAACATTTGGCTCCGGGCAATATCGGCACTGTAGGATCATCTTTTTGGACCAGCTCAACTTCGCAGAGATCTCCGATACTCAGTGGGCCGACGCCAGCGGGCGTCCCGGTGAATATCTGATAAAATGATCGACAAATGAAGAGGCAAAATTGGTGATAGAGAAATTACCACACGATGAGTTCTAAGGTACTACTGGCAGTTACTACTATTCTGCATCTACACAGAATCACGATTCGGTAGGGCGTCGCAAATCATAAGGTTTGTTGTCGCTGTAGTATGACACATGCACGGATCGAAAACTGTAGAATAAGTATAAACGGCGTGTGAATGTTTATCGAAATAAGACTCAACCGAGAGTATAAAATGTATGGTACCACCACATGGGATGCATTTCTAAGATAACTCCCAAAGTTCGACGATACGAGAGCTCACCAAATCCCCAGCAGCGATCTCGTTCCTCTGAGCAATGTATCGAATGATGTCGGCGACCGGCCATATCATCTTATCAAGAGTTGATTCCTGTCTCACTTCGCCGTTCACCCTGAGAGCTTGTCGACCTTCCTACAATGAAATTCACATGCTCACTTGAGACGAAGCAACGCCGTCTCCCATGGTAGAGAGTCTCGCAGAGGATACACTGCACTGATGGGAGCTGAGTTATCGAAAGACTTTGATTCTTCCCACGGCCTTCGCATAGATTTCGCCTAAAGTGCCAGGGATAATTCCAGCTTTACCAAGAATTGTCATCAAGCGGAGCAAGAGTAACCCAAATAGAAGGAGGCCTTTACCTTAGCCTGTATATCTCTCTTAGTAAGGTCAACACCAAGAGCATAACCAAATACACATTCTTGTAATAGCTGATTGTCATCATTATCTTGACAGAGGGTCATCTCCTTAGAAGCACCAGGGCCGAGACATACGACCAACTCCCCTTCGTGATGGACGAGACCTGTTGGACCTGGAAAGGAGGAGAAGGAGGCACTCATTGTGGGGCAGCTATGCCACCCCAAGATATGCCCTAGGGGAACCAATTCCTCTGGGTGGGGCAGCTATGCCACCCCAAGATATGCCCTAGTGATGTCAGTTTCTCTCGGTGGGGCAGCTATGCCATCCCAAATACGCCCTGGTAAAGTCAATTCCCTCGGGTGGGCAACTATTGCACTGCAAGATATGCTCTAGTTGAGCCAATTTCTCGACGTGGGGCAACTATGCCGCCCCAAGATATGTCCTTGTAAAGTCAATTTCTCTCGGTGGGGCAGCTATGCCACCCCAAGATATACCTTAGTGAAGTCAATTTCTCTCGGTGGGGCAGCTATGCCACTCCCAAAGCTTGTCAACCTTCCCACCACAAGACACGCCCCCTACCTCTAGGATAGGGAAGCTTCAATACAGCCTGTCCATCTCCAGGCGGAGGCGTCACTGCATCGCTAGGCTTCATGAAGTAAAATGGGGGCTCTCTAGTAGGATCAGCGCTCATCTAAATAGAGATGATTGGAGCAACCCTAATGATATTTCAAATGTGACCAGGCTGTTCAAAATTGACGTAGAGAACCGAATTCTGATTGCACCATAATGCTTGCCGAGATGAATTAGTGTCGTCGCTCCCATTGGTGGTTCATTTGAGCGCGCTTACGATACAATGCACATCAGATGGAGCGCAGCTGATGAAGTATAGTCGAGCGTGGTGACAGAAACCGACCTCAATGGCATGCTCGGCATAGTTACGGCCAATGCAATAAACCCTTCTGACTGGATAGCCAGCAGTCGATCCTGTGATAGGTATGAGGCGAAGAGGAGCCTCAAAAACAGGCTTCATAAACTTCTCTGAGTTGGAGCACAAACGTGTCCCACTCAAGCAAAGCTCTTCTTCAGCATCTCCATCCCGCAGGTGTCTCTTCCGAATCAAATAGCCCCTCCCGGCAATCTACCTATTCTTCCCTTACAGTTTGCTTCAGACATACGTTTACTATCAACACAAGAGAATACTGAGGTCAGTCAACAAGCGCAGTAAAGGGGCTATCAAGTGCCCATGGCATGATATGCAAGAAGAGTTTTCACATTAGTTTTACCGCTCCTCACTTATCCAAGACTCAGTACGAAAAGCCACCTACGAGAACCGAGAGAAGAAGTTGCTCACCGGGGGTCCAGCGAGAGGAGAACTTGAAGTAAAGAGTCTAGATAGTTGTCCGCTCCTCTTAGCGTTTGTCAGCCTCTCGCCCTGACCGAAATCCTCCTTGGCCTCATCACGGCTGAGACTAACATCGATTTTCAATGGCGTCCGCGCGTTGCGAGTTGACGACGAACCCATCGTGACTGACGGTCTTCGAAGAAAAATTTTTTCAACGTCACAAAGGAATTGTTGCTGCGGTCCTAATATCGACCCTGGGCGACAAATTCTATTCCAACCAATCCAAGCCCTGGCCGGGAAACCATAATGTTTCATCGCGTAAATACCAATAAGACAACCAGTTCTACCAAGGCCGGCTTTACAATGCACAGCAATAGCGTTGGGCGCATTTTCACAGAGGGACAGAAAAGCGCTAATTATTTGATTGGACGGACAACTACCATCAGGAAAATACAAATCAACATGGGCGAACCCAGCGTTGGTAAATCTCCTACTATCGTAACACTTCTTGTTCAGACGAACCACTAGAGATACACCAAATTCCTTGAAAACATCATAGTAGTCCTCGGGCATCAGGGTGAAGTAACCATTCGGATCTAGTCGCTCAGAATGGGGG